GTCAAGTCTGTAGGATGAACTAAAGACAAATACCATGTACCTATGGGGAAGGAGGTTGCTTATTTATGGGCTATACATGTAGGGTCAGGGAGTTTAGGACACACTGTTCTGCTTTATCGAATTTTATTTCCTGAAATAAGTTGGCAGTTAACAGCCACACGCTCTAGCATGTTTTCCATCTACTACTTGGGAGTAACTTCAGTTTTTCTCCGGAAGCCACTGGTGACTTTCAAAGATGGAGACATGGATGGGGTTCACTTCCCTCATTAGGTTTCGTTTCTTGTCCAATTATGTTCCACTTAAGGGGCACTAAGGTTGTTGCCTTAGAGTTCCGGAGCTAAATGTCCAGGAGGGTCCGAGAGGAAGTGCGGACATCGGTGCCTAGACACACGGTTGGCTTTGGCCTGGCCATGGCCACTTTAAAGTCCGGTAGTTTCCAACAACAGTCATGTGTCAGCCCTGGGTCCAGCTGGCCCAGTCCAGGCTGGGATCAGCTGTGTCACATGTCCCTACTCTCCCGGGAATCACAGTGCTGGCAAAGTCAAGAATGCAATCTTAGTTGAAGGAGAGCTTTTCAAGCCTTTGCGCCACGTCCGCTGGTATTTCTCTGGCCAAGGGCAGAGGCATCGGGTGGGGGGAATTTACTACACAGAGGGGACGTGCCTGTGTGGACGTGAATAGATGCACTGAACAATACCCTACTGTAGACCTCTGCCCCCATTGTGCACCCCTAGAACCTTCCAGCCATCGATCCACCCCCCATTGTGCACCCCCAGAACCTTCCAGCCATCGATCCACTCCCCCATTGTGCACCCCAAGAAACTTCCAGCCATTGATCCACCACCCCATTGTGCACCCCCAGAACCTTCCAGCCATCGATCCAACCCCCACATTGTGCACCCCTGGAACCTTCCAGCCATCGATCCACCCCCCCCCCACTGTGCAACACCAGAACCTCCCAGCCATCGATCCACCCCCCCCCATTGTGCACCCCCAGAACCTTCCATCCATCGATCCACCCCCCACATTGTGCACCCCTGGAACCTTCCAGCCATTGATCTAACCCCCCTCCATTGTGCACCCCCAGAACCTTCCAGCCATCGATCCACAGCCTCATTGTGCACCCCCACAACCTCCCAGCCATCGATCCACCCCCCCCCATTGTTCACCTTCAGAACCTTCAAGCCATCGATCCACCCCCCACATTGTGCACCCCTGGAACCTTCCAGCCATCGATCCACCCCCCATTGTGCACCCCCAGAACCTTCCAGCCATCGATCCACCCCCCCCCCATTTTGCACCCCCAGAACCTTCCAGCCATCGATCCACCCCCGCATTGTGCACCCCCAGAACCTTCCAGCCATCGATCCACCCCCCCATTGTGCACCCCCAGAACCTTCCAGCCATCGATCCACCCCCGCATTGTGCACCCCCAGAACCTTCCAGCCATCGATCCACCCCCCATTGTGCACCCCCAGAACCTTCCAACTATCGATCCACCCCCCATTGTGCACCCCAAGAAACTTCCAGCCATCGATCCACCCCCCACATTGTGCACCCCGAGAACCTTCCAGCCATCGATCCACCCCCCATTGTGCACCCCTGGATCCTCCCAGCCATCGATCCATCCCCCCATTGTGCACCCCCAGAACCTTCCAGCCATCGATCCACCCCCCCATTGTGCACCCCTGGAACCTTCCTATCATCGATCCACCCCCCCATTGTGCACCCCCAGAACCTTCCAGCCATCGATCCACCCCCCCATTGTGCACCCCCAGAACCTTCCAGCCATCGATCCACCCCCCCCCAGTGTGCACCCCCAGAACCTTCCAGCCATCGATCCACCCCCCCATTGTGCACCCCTGGAACCTTCCAGCCATCGATCCACCCCCCCCATTGTGCACCCCTGGAACCTTCCTATCATCGATCCACCCCCCCCAGTGTGCACCCCTGGAACCTTCCTATCATCGATCCACCCCCCCAGTGTGCACCCCTGGAACCTTCCTATCATCGATCCACCCCCCCAGTGTGCACCCCTGGAACCCAGCCACCTTTTTACTGTCACCCGTCACACACCTGCCTTCCCTTTCATTCTGCTATAGTTTTTTATTTTATTTTATTTTGAGTGTGAATGTATCTATGTATGAGTGAGAGTGTGTGTGTGTGTGTGTGTGTGTGTGTGTGTGTGCGTGCACATGTGGAGGTCAGAGGACAGCTTTTGGGAGCTGGTCCTCTTTCCACCACGTGGGACTCCGAGTTTGCTCTCAGGTTCTCAGGCTTGTGTCTATACCCGTGCACGGAGCTGTTGCACTGGTCCAGGAAAGAGTATTTATTAACTACTTTTGCCACAAGCTGTTTTCTGGCTTCTTAGTTCATGGGATAATCCAAGGGCAAAAGACCAAATTCTACTTTAAATTGAGAGACAGAAGGAAGGGTGAAAAACTCTTTCAGAGCTTTGAAAGATGTGAGAGATTAACATGAACAAATTTAAAATGTTACACTTTGGCTGGGTGGTGGTGGTGCACACCTTTAATCCCAGCACTCGGGAGGCAAAGGCAGGCGGATCTCTGTGAGTTCGAGGCCTGTGTGGTCTACGGAGTGAGCTCCAGGACAGGCTCCAAAGCTACAGAAAAACCCTGTCTTGAAAGCCGAAAAAGAAAAGAGAAGAGAAGTTATACTTTAGCGGATTTAAGGCACCACGTATTAGACTGCCTGCTGTGGGAAGCTGTTGTAGATCTGTGTTAGTGGAAGTTCTCCTCTTTGATTGAGCGGATTCAGCATTGTCTGCTGACTTCTTATTTCTCCTTAGCATCGTTTGCTTAGAGCAGTGCTTTAAATGACCCCTTGTGTAGCTGGAATTATCTTTGGGTCATCAACCAGCTTAGTTATGAATGCTCAGCCTTAGCTTAGGCTTGGCCCACTAGGTCTTTTGATTTAACTTAACCTGTTTTGCCTTGGGGTTTCTGAACCTTTCTTTCATTCTGTTTGTCTTGCTTTCCTGCTTCCTCCATGTCTGACTGACTGGCCCTTGGTGTCTCCCTGGCTTCTCCTTTTCTTTCTCCCTAAATTCTTCCTCCTCCTTTCTCTCCTTCCCCAGAAATTCCATCTATATCTCTTCCTTGGCTATTGGCTGTTCAGCTTTTTATTAGACCAATCAGGTGCCTTAATCAGGCAAGGTGAAACAGCAACACGTCTTTACATAGTTAAATATTCCGCAACATAAACAAATGCAACCCATCTTTGCACAGTTAAGCAGATATTCCGCAATACCCTTGTGTTGTCTGTCCTTGGATGAACTCTATTCTGGGGCCTCTGTTTGCACGTACTCATACTTTGAGGAGTGTAGCAGGTTGAAGGCTGAATCCCCCAAACCTCCTGGAAACTGTGATTGTGACTTTTTTTGGCAAAAAAAAAAAAAAAAAAAAAGATGAAGACATCTTTGGGTTGAGGGTCATAAAATGGGCACCTCCTGATAATCCAGGTGGGCACCCCATGTGATCCTGAGGAGGGCATGGGGCAGAAGGAAGAACAGGCTCTGCAGGAGGAAGAGCAGGCTCTGCAGAACGGGCAGGGCCTAGATCTCTGCAGCCTCTGGCCAAGGCACACTGCAAGAACGATGGTGGCTCTGCCCTTAGCGCAGACTGCGGATTCCTGCGTCTATGGAGGGGCCCTGACTTCTGGCTTCTCGTTCCCAGAATTGTCAAGAAGCACAGCTTTTGTCCTAAGCCTCCGACTTTGACAGTTTATCACAGCCCGAGAGCTGACAGTGCATGTCTGCTTTGATGGTTCTGTAAGATGAAAATTTTACAGGCAGCAGAGGGGTTGTTTTGGTCCCCGGGTTGTGTGGTGAGCTGGCTTGTGCTGACGGAGCAGCCTTCCTCAGCCATGCGGATCTTCCTCTGGCCTGTTCTGTCCACCTCAGGCCCTGCTCTCTTTCCAGTCTTGGTTCTGCTGTGAATGGGAAGAAAGTCTGGACGTTTTCAGCATGACACCCTCTGGGATGGCCGCTTCTTTCCGTTGGTTTTGAGCTTCGTCTTGGGCTTTTCACTCACTACTTAGCTCCAGGGCACAGGCCCAAAATTTAAAATGTGGGAAAACTCCAGAAGCCGAAACTAAGAACAGACGTGAATAGTAGCTGCTCTCCTCGTGCTCAAGAGGCAGGAGGAGGTGACCAAGTGTTTGTTCCAGGGTGCTTTCCAGCTTTGGCTCAGTTTCAGGAAGTCAACACCAAAAGGCACTGGAAACTAGAGTTCAGATTTATTTTTTAAAGTTTTTTTGTTGTTATTTTTAAGTCTGATTTTTATATATATATATATATATATATATATATATATATATATATATATTATGCCTACAGTGTTCCTCCTGCATGTATGCCTACAGGCCAGAAGAGGGTGCCAGATCTCGCTATAGATGGTTGTGAGCCATCATGTGGGTGCTGGGAATTGAATTCTAGATCTCTGGAAGAGCAGTCAATGCTTTTAACCTCTGAGCCACCTCACCAGCCCTCTTAAGTATGATTTCTATAAGAGATAATTCCCAGCAAGAAATAAACTACAACCTCCAAAGAAGCAAATTTAAAGCGAACACCGTGAGCTTCACACAAAACTCTATCTGTTGGGGCTGGAGAGACCAGCAGTTAAAAGCCATCCATCACCAGGCATAAGACTAGTTCCGGGGGCCAGTGCCTTCTGACCTCTCCCCTGTGGGCACTTGATACACATACATTCATGCAGGTAAGGCACTCAGACACACGACATAAAGCTGATAAAAATGCCTTTGTTGGCCACATTATTCCATGAGCTCCATCTGGTAGTGGAAACTTTTATGGTTCCTGGGCAAGAATTCTCCATCTATTTCTTAGATTATGGAGGGCTTTGTAAAAAATCCCTATTTCCAGCTTCAAGACACTGGGCCTTCAGAGGTTCTCAGGTTGCTGAATTGGATAATACGCAGACATTGAACATGTTAAATATTTTATTCACATTGTTTATAAACTATATCCACCTGGAAAACACACGAATCCAAAAATAGATTATTTTACAGTAATTCACATTTTTTTTTAAAACAAGTTGCTTTTTGAGGTTAAACTCTAAACAGAGAGGTCTTCAGCCTGCATTGCTATTCAGTGCCTCATCACTTGGCAGTCTCAGCTCTGGGGAAGTCCAGGTTGGGGGGCGGTTCACCTTGTTGCAGGCCAACGGCAGGTGTGGAGACTCTAACCCATGAACGCTTATTGTTGTAAATTCACTGTTCTTACTTTTACCAAGAGATAAAACTCTGTGGTAGAGTTGGAGCACTCATCAGGTATGAAAGGAAGAGAGACTGATGACGTGCCCGGCTGTTGTGGGCTGTTGGACACTGTCTGCTCTACAAGGGTTTAACATCTTAGCCCCAGAGGGAATCAATGAGTTCTGGTTTGATCAGGTTGACAGTTTGAATCACAGAAACAGCAGTGATTTGGGAATTAATGTACATGTCTGTTGACTAGTCTGTAGAAATGACGCTAGCCACCAGCGAGGAGAAATGGGGCCGTGATCTCAGTAACAGTTCCCAGTGTGGCTAATTACGAGTACGTAAGTTCTGAGGGGTTGGCTGTGGATCAAGTGGCTGTGTGGTCACAAATGATGATCTGGTTAAGAAACTTATCATTAACTTAGGCTACATCCAATTAGGTCCCAGCTTAGTGACTTAGCTTTTTTTACTAGGCAATTCTTCTATGGAATAATTTCACATCTAAAGTAAGCACGCCGTCCGTACATTTCATCCGCTCCTAAAAGTTAATCCCAGGTAAGCTGCCTCAGCTGACCGCTCAGAACCTCTGGACTAGGAGGGTAATGTGTCCTTAATGGTGCAATGGGCCCCTCTTTGGAAGCAGTACCCATAACATTGACTACCTTGTCTCCAAACACTTCATTAGGGAAATAATGTCTCACCAAGTTGCCACAAAAGACCATCCCTTCCTCCCCCTTGGGGTGAAGACACTTGCTTAAGGGGTTCTGCCGTCACCCCAATAGACGACAACTGAATCCAAATGAGAGCTGAGACGTGCAGAGATTTTTATCAGCGTGTTTGTAGGTTTTGAAGAGGAGGAGAGGGAGGAGGAAAAAGAAGACTTTCAAATGTCTATTTCGATCTGATTGTTTCAAACAACAGAAATCCGTCAAGCAAGCTCGGTGTGCGCAGATCATAGTTTGTCTTCCTGCCACCCGTGTGCGTTTTTTCCAAATTTGTACACTAACCTCCTGTCAACTCGCTCCAAAATTCCCGTTTTGTAGTAGTATCTGTGAAAGGCAAGCAGAAGAGAGAAACCCAGGGAAGGTTTTGCACCCCAAGAAAAATAACAGCATGTAAACATTCCTTGCTCCTCTCGGGTGACAGGGCTTTACCAACCCTGGTATTTCCACACCCTGCTATTAACTTACACTTAAACCCTTCCCAGACACCTTGAAGACTGAGCCTCTCCACAGTCAGTCCAGCATGTGTGCGTGTGTGTGCGTGTGTGCACGATGGCTTGGGTTCAGGGTGACCACCCTCCTCATCCCCCCGGGGAATGCAGCCAACTGGAAAGGATGGTGGGTCACTTTACAAGCCATAATCCCACCTGAAACTGAGGAGAGGTTTAGCCCACGACCCTTTCTTACGAGGTGGGGAGAAAGGCTGTGAAAATGGTATGATTTTCTCCGGCTGCTCTTTTATATAACTCGTCTCTGCAGGCCCCACCATTCACTCACCTCAGGGCTCTGCTCAGCTTTTCATAGGTCATCCTGTCATTCTTCTTCCTTTGTCCCCACATCTTGGCCAGGGCTTCTGATTTAACCACTCGGAAAATGCCCTGCTCCCTGTCTTCCCATTCCAGGATGCCACAGTTTTCTTCAGGAGACAGAAGCAAGTCTCGGACAAATTCCCACAGGTGAGAGCTTTGGAGGCCTTTGGGAAGGAAGCCCAAGAAAGTCAGCTTCCTGTCTTCCTAAACTGGCTTTTTTCAAAGAGAGACTGTGTCTCCTAGTAACACCTTAAGCGACACCCATAAAGTCTCACCAACATGACCGCCCAGCCATGGATTGAACAAGGAAGACGCCAGTGGAGATGGCAAACTTGGGGAAAGGCCCACGAGGCCTCAGTCCTACACAGAGAGCTACAGGCTACCGAGGAATGCTGGGAGTGGGAGAACAGGCCCTTCTCAGGGAGAGCACACAGATCGGTTGTTCAGGGCCAAACAGTCGGTCCTGAAAACATACATCCAGGTAACATGATAAGGACTGAGCAGGTTCTATTCAGGAATATATATGTGTATACGCATATCCATGCGGTAACAGTGAAAAAGAGATCATGAGTTTGAAGGAGAGTGGTGAGGGGTACACGGGAAGGCTTAGAGGGAGGAACGGGAAGGGGAAATGATGTAATTATAATCTCAGGTAATAAAAATACGAGAGATGTTAAAAGAAAAGAAAGTGGGAGGCAGAAAAGGAGAGAGAGGAAGGGAGAGAGAGAGAGGTGTAACTTCTCATTAACTTGGGAGAATTGTTGCTGGGCTGGACAAGGCTCCCTTTAAGTGCGCTGCTTGGAGTCTTACCAAGCTGCAAAATGTCTGTCTACTGATAAACTACAAGCAAAATCCCCACGCAGAGACACGAGGTTTACCTAAAGAACACCGTGGCTCTTCAAGAGCTCACTCCTTTCTGATGGGCAGGAGGGCTGCATTAAAATGGGAGCCTGGCCCTTTCCTAAGCAGAAATGGAGGAGGAGTGGATTGGGGGTGGGAACAAGGGGGCGGATGGGAGAAGGGACAGGGAGGAGAGAAGGGAGGGGAAACTGGAGCCAGGATGCAAAAATAAATAGGTAAGTAAACAAAGTTACTTAAAAAAAAAAAGATCTGGTACCCACAGCCATTCTGCAGTTTCATTTCTCACCAGAGCTGGTATTTCTTTTGAGCCTTTAGGGCATGGTTAAGACTGATCTGGGCCATGACTGCCAGGGGTTGGGTCTGGAAATGCAGTCTCTTTAGTTACCCTCGATGTCAAAGGGGTAATCAGATGCCCATGTCATACTGCGGGCTTCAGGATGTAATGGTTTAACGCACAGCAAATGGCTAGCACAGGCTAGCACAGGACGACTGCTTGGCACATAACGGATGTGGAGCTTGATTCTGCCCCAGGCAGATCTCGGTGCTCAGAAAGACTCCTGGCCTGGCCAGTCCCCCACATTGCCTTTGTTCTCTTCCCCAGTGTACCTCAGTGAGATGGCCACACAGTGGACCAGGAAGCAGAGAACTCTCCTTCAGTAATAGACCCTAGTCAGAACACTTCTTTAATTCCAAAATGCGCTGTCCAAGTGAAAATAAGGATTTTGATCACATGTATGAAAGCCATCCCTGATTTCTCTGCTACCTCCCTGGGGAAGTGACTGGTCCATCTCAGGCGCATACAGATGAAAAATGGTGACCCTGCTCTTACTTGTTCGGCTGTGACAGTCCTGACTCTTGATGCCACTTGTTTTCAAGCAACTGGAATCAGCATCTGAAACAGAAGGACCATGGCAGTGGAGGAGCCTCAGACTGCACCCCACAGAACAGAAGTTAATGGCAAGCCGCGTGGTAGGAGACATTTTAGGGTGCTTAGTAGATGGAGGGACGGGGACCTCAGTTGATCCTGGGACCTGCTGTAAGTGCATGCCGAGCTTCTGCTGGAACACAAGAGAGAGCACAGGCACAGTCCCTGTTCGTGTGACCAGGTGAGCTCCAGGAGAAACAGACAAACCACCGCGCATGACACTGGATAGAGAATGACGTAAAGAAGTGGCTACATTATGAGGGAGGACCTCACAAGAGGGGACAGTTACATTATGAACCAGTGGGAGGAGAAAGAAAGGAGGGAGAGGAGGAGAGAGGGGGAAGAGAGGGAGGAAGAGGATAGAGAGGGGAAGAAGAAAGAGGGGAAGGAGAGAGAGGGGAAGAGCAGGAAAAGGAGAAAGAAGAGGGAGAGGAGGAAGAGCAGGAAGAGGAGGGAGAGGAGGAGGTTTTTAGGTGGAGGCAGCAAAGTGCACCCTGCTCTTCCCATCCCAGAGTACCTAGGAAGCATGTGTACCCTGTGGCTGGAGAGGGCAGGAAGTGCTGCTGCCATCCATGGAGGCTATAGACAGACAGTGGCAGGTCATGTTTTTGCAGGCTGGATGATGGTTTGGGATTTTATATTAAAGTGAAAGCAGAGATAGCCCCCCCCCCCATCCCCATCCCAAAGCTGGTGGACTGCCTTGTTTTCCCCCTGAGACAGAGTCTTCCTTAGCTCACGTGGCACTGGACTCGCTGTATTTTGGATGATCCTGAACTCCTGGCTTTCCTGCCTCTACCTCTCGAGTGAGTGCCGGTGATACAGGCATGTACTGCCATTTCCAATTTATGCCGTGCTGGGCACAGAATCCAAGGCTTCATGCGTGCCACACAAACTACGTAACTGGGCTACGTCTCTAGCTCAAAGACCCACATTTTAAGAAGACCCTTCTTGTGACTGTGTGGAGAACCAACTGGAAGGGACTCAATAAAAACAAAGAGATTAGAACTCATGTAGGAAGCAAGATGTTAACTCAATATTGAATCGAGTTATATATTATAGTGCTGTAATAGATAATCTGAGATACCCACACATGCATTATTCTAAGGAATATGATTTTTTTAAAAGACTATCAGAACCAGACCTGCATCCTACCGCCTTAAATCTCTGCCTGTTCTCAGCTCTCTGCTCCCCTTGCTTCAGCTACACAGGCTCTCTCTCTCAAGGCAGGCACCGTCCACCTTGGGGCCTCCACAGTCGCTCTCTGCCCAGACTGCTCTTCCCTTTACTCTCTGGGGATTCACGGCCTCATCTCGGTCTCGAGTCAAATTCACCTTCCAGGGGTGGCCTCCTCCAGCTGTGAAAATTGTAACTGCACACGTGTGCCTCTAGGTTCTGCTTAGCTTCCCACATCTACTTCCTCTTTCTGTGTTTGCCTTCGAGCTCCTTCCTGACACGTTTGTAGTCTGTGTCCACTAGAGGGCAGGATTTGCCTTGCTTATGTATTCCCTTAGCATCTAGCACGGTGCTGGGTATCAGCAGGTCTGAAGTGACATTCTACACTACACTACACTGACCATACTGACGGTATAGTCTATGACATGGACTAGTGGGACAAGGAACAGACGTGTCATCTTTGGAGGGAAGGGTGTCCTGTGTACACTGCTGCCCAGTTCCTGTGTTCTAGGCCATTGGGTCAGATCATTCCCCAAGTGGTCCCCTTTTGTCACAAGGATGAAGGTTATCATGTTAGGTAGGTCTTTCATAAATTGGGCCACACCCAGCCCTCTAACCTTATCTCTTTCTGTGACCCAACTTTCATCTGAGGTTAGTTGGTTTCAATGGGTATGGCTATCCTGGGCCTCAGGATTTTTAGGCATGTTTCCCACCCACCACTTCTACCCAGCTGACTCTCACAGAACCCTAAACTCTGTGAGAGAACCCTAAAGCCACGTCCTGGGCTAGAGCCCTTACCTGCATACCCGAGGTCTAACGGCACCCATGTGTTTCTTGAATGACAATGTGTTTCTTCCTTTAAATTCTACCTCACTTTTCCTCTACTAAAGCTGAGTGCTTCCTAGAGAGAGGCCTCATCTGCAACATCAAAGCCCTGCAAAAGCTCTGGATGGCATGATTGTCATTTTATTAAGGAGGAGTTTAGAGCCCAGAGAGTCTAAGACTTGTCCAGATGTGAAGCTTGGCCTTGAGTCCAGAGTTCCCACCCTGGAGCTAACACAATCAGGACGCCGTCAGGTCCTCTCGGGAGCCCTTGGCAAGCACCGAGTGAGCACTTAGCCCCTATGGGCTCTTTTGTGCTGTGTGTCTGTCCCCATCTCTAGACTTCTCCATTGTGTTGCTGAATCTTTTAGGGAAAAAGCAAGCGAAACCATAATAATAAACAAAGGTGAGTTAGTGCCCATGAACAGATAAGAAGCCTTCACTGAACCATAAGGAGAGCCAGGTAAGAGCATGCTTTTCAGTTCTATAGGCCCTTGTGCTTGGGATGTCGTCCGTTTGGTGTGATCGGGGAATACAGAGCAGGAGGCATCACAAGAGACATGAAGATGGTTCATCTGGGCACTGTCCTAACTGTCCCAGGCCCTCATGAGTTGAGGAGCTTCCAGATCTCTCTTTTTTCAATCTAGTGATTGAGATAGAGGCTGAGGCAGAGGAGGTAGAGCCATCACTGCCGAGCCAATCTCGAGGCAGTTGCTTGATTAAACTCTGGACCAAGATGAGCTGTTGATCTGCTGTGGTACCCTGAAGGAACTCTGTTTATCTGTAAATAGTAGTGTGCATGTGTATTTGTGTGTGTGTCCAGGTAGCTGGGGTGGCTGTTGTGGCCTGAGGGGAGGAATAGTCTGTGAGGTTTAGGTGAGCCTGGTTGGACTTGAGAGTGGAAACTTAAAATAGAGCCAAGGGGTTTATTATCATTTGTTGGTTGAAATCATAGTTGCTTGTCTTCTAGAAGTTAGGATGGAGGCCTGGGAATAGGGTTTCAAAATCAAGCTCATTGCAGCCCATGACACTGTCAGTCCATCCAAAAAGCCCACTCTACACTAGCATGACACAGAGATGTTCCAAGGTTCAAGAGCAGGAGTTACTAGCTATGAACCCAAAGGCATAAACTCTATTCTTGGGTATGGTGTAGCCTCAACTGACATAGCTGTAGTGGAGGAGGGTGGGAACATGTGGAGAAGGAGAAAAAGTGATCAGGACTGGAGTGCTCCTCCTTGAACAGTTTTGATGGCTTCGTGGCTTGCTGGACTTTTGGCAGGAACAAACTTGAAGATACCCTGTTACAGATCTTTGTCAAACTAGACTCAGAGCTAGACACATCTCGGGAGCCTTGGGTTTCCACAAAATGGACAAGAGAACAAACAGAAGAGCCTGGGAGCAGCTATGCATGTGTGTATGCATGTGTATACCAAGTGTGTACTTCTGTGTGTATGCGCGTGTGTATATGCATCATGTATGTACTCATGTATGTATGTGCATATTATGTATATATGTGAATGTGTGTATGCATTGTGTAAGCATGTGCATATGCATGTGTGTATGCATGCGTGTATGTGCACACGTGTATGCATGTGTTCATGTGTGTATTCCCATGTGTATGTACATGTGTGCATGTACATGTTTATGTAAGTGCATTGTGTGTATTCTTGTGTGTATGCATGCGTGCACACGTGCATGTATTACTGAGTATATGCATATGTGTGTGCATGTGAATATTCATGTATATATGTACCTTGTGTATTCCTATGTGCATGCACATGTGTGTAATGTGTATAACAAGTGTATATTCCTATGTGTTTGTGCATGTATGTATGCATGTGTGTATTCATGTATGTATGTGTATAGAGGTGTGCATGCTGTGTGTATGCATGTGTATAGATATAGAAGGTGTGTATGCTGTGTGTATGCATGTGTGTATGTATGTGTAGCTGAATGTATAAGCACAGAGCCACTGAGAGGCCAAGCTGGAATCAGTCCCAGGGTTGTGTTTACTCTCAAGTTGCTACACCCCAGGTTCTTTAGCTACAAATGTGAGCTCGTATGTCTAGATTCCTGACTCTACACCTAGCATAGTGTTAAGTGCTTAAAAAACAATGACGGCTAGCAACTTTTACTGAAGTCTCCAGGACACCACCCTGCCCTCCTTGGCTATACTGTCGTCGGTCTCTGGTTTCCTGTTCCAGGATATCTGGGACCATGAACCATTGCTGGGTCATAGACTTTGTGGTCATATGGTCCTAGGACATAGGACAGGCTTACGGTTTAGCCAACAAGTTGTTGACTTCGTTCCTACCTCTGTGTTCAAGTTCTACATTACAGTTTCTGCTTGGGGAAGCATGGTCCTGAAGGCTGCAGAGAAGTCAGAGCAGGCCCCAGGAGGGGCTGGAGAAGGCAGTAGTATCCTGGCCATGGAACTGGGGCTGGGAGGGGAAGAGCTGTGGGGCTGCTGTCTGGGTAGTCTCAATAGAGGTCTTAAGTCTAGCCTCGGCCTAGAAGTTGTACCTCTTTGTTGTTGGGGCAGATGGAGCAGAGAGCCTCAAGGAGCAGCCACTGGTGGAGGGGTTACCTCTGTGAATCCTAAACACACTTACCCAAAGCCTTTCCTCCACCGCCCCCACTTCTAGCTTTTTCTCACTTCTTCTGAATTGGACCACCAGCATCACCCTCCTAGACTCCTGCCCAACCCAGACACAGCAGCCCAAGAGATCTTCTAATCTACTTATGCCCTTTATCATTTCCAAGCTTACAATCCTTCACTGGCTGCTCAGCTTGCTCAGCATGAGACCCAGACTCCCCTGCTCATAAACATGCCCTTGCTGAGCTCTCAGGCTCAGCTCCCATTCCTCCTGTGGATGCTGCTGTTCCTCCACTGATAATGTCCAGGAGAACTTGCTGTGGTGGGGAATACCAGCAATCCAATATGGTGGCGCCTGACCACCTGGGAGTGCATTTAAGACATGACTACTGCTCCTGAGGACTTGAATTTTAACATTATTTAATTTTGTAATGCTCACATATGGCTAGTGGCTCCTCCTTTGGACAGCCCAATGTCACACCTTCTAGCTCTTTTTCAAGGATGACTTGGGCCCAGCATTTGCCTTTGTCCCCTGGAAGCCTCACTTCCTTCTCTCCAGCTAGGGCCCTTGGGGCTGGATAGGGGTGACCCATTTCACAATGGAAGTTGCTATTCTTGTGCTAATGTCCCTAAACCAACAAACAAAAATCACAAAACTTTAATTGATCAGAAGTTTAAGAACTTAAATCCGCAGTTGATGGAGATTTAGGGAGAGGGAAAAAAAATCCTGGGCCAACAAGATGGCTCAGTAGGTAAAAGGGCTGGCTGTGTGAGCCTTGTCAACCCACCACAGAAGGACAATCTGTCTCCCAGAAGTAATCCTCTGGCTTCAGTATTTGCACGGTGGCACGCACATACTTGTACACACACACACACATACTTGTGCAATGCACACACGAGAACACACACTAACATAGAGCTTAAAAATCCTGACAATTATATAACAAACCCTCATTGTCTATCCTTTCACAGCTGTCTTTCAGAAGGGCCTTGGAAAACCCCATGTGGCCTGCCTACTCTTTGATTGAGCAAGAGTCCATGGGGAAAGGGCCCTATCCAGAACCGCATCTCCTTTCAGCCCTTGGGCCAGGGTATTTGCACAGAACCCAATAATGAATAGCAATAATAATCATTTTTTACAAAATGGTAGCTCTAGCTAAAGGAAGCTGCTGGCTGCTGGGGGGTGAAGTCATTTTCCAGGGTGACTGGCTATAGCTGCTGGTAGGCTGCCCGTACTCCAGGGGTTGGCACCACACCCTTGCACATGTATTGGCAGTACTAACTACGATCAAGTGTTATTTTTTTTTAAAAAGAAGAAAAGGCATGAAGTTGAGAGAGGATATGTTGGGAAGAGTAGAGAGTGATTATGATCAAAATATATTGCATATTTGTATGAAATTCTTGAAGAACAAATAAAAATATTTTTTAAAATGGGAGCTCCAAAGTTTCCTTTCCCTGCCCGCGTCTGCAGAAATGAAATGAGAAAATGACTGCGATCACCGGCCATTTGAGACCTCCCCATCATTTTCCAATTGTCAGTTTGACCTACTGAGTGGGCTCAGATTATTCTGAAATATCAGCAGCCATAAGGCCTCTAATGGCTGAAAGTTATTGGTAACGTGGATAATGGGCCCTGACTTTATAGTATCCACGCTGCAGGCACCAGAAAGGTCTTTTACCAGGCACAAATGCCATTGCTTCTTAAACTAACCACAACCTAGAAGGGTCCTGTCCTGATATTTTATAGACAGAGAGATGGAGTCTTGAGGAGGGCAAGGGCTCTGTGGACATGAACTATTGTCCCGTACACCTCCACCCGCGATCACACGATTTAACCCATGTCTCCGCGATCACACGATTTAACCCATGTCTCCGCGATCACACGATTTAACCCATGTCTCCCCACTGTTTCTCTACATCGTGGCTTCTTTTGGTTCATCAGCTTTCTATTGCAGCTCTTAAAGCAGCATGGAACCCAAGAGGCCAGCAATAGTTGGGCACAGCTTTGGGCAGTTTGAATGTCATACTTACAGTCTTTGATGGCGGTCTTCGTCTCTTCAGCATCATTGAAGAAGGAATAACCTGGGAGAGGAAGGGGAAGAGAGAGTCACAAACCATCCCGTGCAATCCTGGAAGCTAGCCGGGTGAGGAGGGGAGGCTTGGGAGGAAGGGAAGTGATTCTCTCCTCGGGACACTTGGAGACTATCAGGCCCTTATAAAGCCATCCTGAAACAGAACAACAACATCCTACTTTTTCAAAGCTTGCTTGAGAAGAACAGCTGATGCCAGGAGTCCACAAGGCTCTGTGGAGCTGCGGGTTGAGCTTGTCTAGAATCCAGGAACTCTGGGCTCTGAACTGAACTGGACCACTGTTGTCTGTGCAGCTTTGCCTGTCACAGGCTCTCTGGGCTCGTTGCTTAGTCTCAGTGGAATATGAGGTGAAACACCCACTTGCTCCCTTCTGGCCCTGGGCCTATGATTTCTGACATGGGACTGTAATCCTCAGAGTTCAGGATGACTGAGATGTGATAGCCAAAGGGAAGAGAAGGATAAGAAACTCCCATGGCTCCACTTGAACGTTTAATTCATTGGAAGACCATGCTGGTTCCTTACTCTGTAGAATGGTGACCTGGACTGGAGTTTAAGATCATGTTTCCAGGAAGCAAGTCAGGTCAACACCTATTTCCTAACTCGGTGTCTGGCATGAGGACTGCTTTCTCTTTGCTGACACAATGGAACTCTTTGGCCAAATGGCCAACTAGAACAGGGTCAGGGACTGATGGGAGATGTTTCTTGTTCTCTATCGCTAGAAGCCATTCTGTGACCCCAGGCTCTCTCCTGACTTCTGCTTCCGGTGACCAGGTCTCTTGCTTCTAGACCTTCAAATCTTACTGCAATATCTACTGATCAGATGATTCTCTGGGCTCTGGAGGCCCCTCTAGTGCCTCCCCTGGTTGAAGCTTCCTTATTCCATGTCCTGTTCTTGCAGACACCTAGATTATGGGGTACCCGAGGCACAGATAGTTACCCAGAATATAACTTTTGTCCAAAAGGAGAAAACCTCATGATTGTTCCAATGGTGATTATGCCCAGAGGGGCAGTGGGCCCACTGTGTCCTGGGCAAAACTCTGGAGAGTAAACTCTGGCCAGGAAGCACGTGCACACAGACTTGCCTGAGGAACCTTAAGGGAAGAACTTCAGAATGGAGCAGGTAGTGGGACTGAAGGTGTGTGCAACCACACCTGGCCCTTGGGAGGTTTTTGAATGGAGTTCCAGGATCCTCTTCCCAGGGTGGCTATGACACACTCAGACTTGTTGCCATTTAGGGAGAACAGTCCCTGAGGATAGGCTTTTACTTCTAGCTCAGGGTGGCTACTTCTAGCTACCACGCTCTGCTTTCTTGCCGGCAGGACTTCCTGATGGGGCGGAGCAACTGGAGGCCCCACTCCCAGAGCTGGAAGGTGCTCTGAGGTTTCTCTGCCCAAATGGGAATCTCTGCTTTGGACACAGTGTCAAGGTAGACAGCTTGGCTGCCCAGCGACAGGAAACTTCCTGCTTTTTGTGTCGCCGAAGGAGCCTTTCCAAGAGTAACGGACAAAACCGACAACTTTTCAGATTTCTTGAAATCAAAGGTAGATGTGTCTGCTTTAGTGCCCCTCCCAGCTCCTGTGCCTCTTGGTTGTATTAATATGGAAGGGGCTGCTACTTAGTGTCCTTATAGGGCTGTGCCAAGTAATTGTTCACCAAATCCTCCAAAGAAGCCCGGGGCAAGGGGGTCGTCCATTCTCCCAGTGGACAGCAAAGTCAGGGGATTTGGACAGGGGGTGCTTCTGGCAAACCCTATGACTTCCGTGTGTAAGAGTTGGGACTGTATTAGTGACACAACGTGTCCTTCAGATTTCCTGGCTCTTACTTTGTCCTGACTGCCTGTGGAGTGGCCCCGCACACGGTCTGGCCAGAGCGGAGGTACAGAGCTTCTCACTCCAACTGCTCTACCGCGAGGGGATAAACAGCGCATGCTCATAGCGTTCCCGTGCTACTGGTGCCACCTTCTGAGCATTGGATCCTGGAACGTACTAAGAAAGGCAATTCCTGCTTAGTTCGTTTTGCTCACCTTTCAGGTTTTCAATTAGTTTTCAACATCCTCGTTTGAGGCTTTCAGCCTGGCCTTGGACTTCCTTACTCGCGCTTGAGTTTTATTTTTCTTTAAAACAAAACCCTACCCAACTTGCTTTCTCGGCTCTTGCTTTTCTTTCGACTAAACTCTCTACACGGGGACAACGGAATTTCTGGCTACCGAGAACTTTTGACTGAGCGCTGGTAACGTTTGGCTATGAGATTCATGGGAAGGGAAGCAGGTCGCAGGGATCCGGTCCTAGTTTCAGCACCCGCTCCCGAGGCTTTGCGGACACTGACCTTGAGAGCGAATGTTCTGCAGGATGAAGTACAGGTACTCCCCACAGATGCCGGCCGCCTCGATGAACTCCTCCTGTGTCATACTGCACAGCTGCAGGCCGCTGACGTTGAAGTGGCAGAAGGAGATGCAGTTGGCGTCAAGTTTGTACTGGTCACAGCAGAACTGGAGCCATTCCCAGACATGGCGCTTGGTCCAGTATTCAGGGTGCACCGATGTCCAGTAGGAGTCACAGGCTGCACCAGAGCACAGAGAATTAAGAGATGATAGTCTTCAAGGGGCTCCAAAGAATACTCCAGTTACCTTAGCATCTTTGCCCTTTACCCAGTGGGAGGAAAGGGCTTTAGATCTGGCATGCACTTGCAAGGGTCCAGGTCACCTTCTCTGCAGAGATGACGAGGGAGAGAAAGAGAGAGAGAGAGAGAGAGAGAGAGAGAGAGAGAGAGAGAGAGAGAGAAGAGGAGAGGAGAGGAGAGGGAAGATTCTGTAGGTGGTTGCTGGGGCCAGAGAGAGTGTGAGGCAGATGGGAAATTATTTTATCTTTTTCTGGTACTTAAGAGGAGGGTACTCTGTAGCATGATTAATAAAAACCCAGAGACAGAAATTGGGGTTTAACCTGAAGGTCAGAAAAGCAAAACAACCAGCCACTGGCTCTTACCTCTACCTCAGCCAGAAATGGCGATCCTGCCTCCATGAATCTCAGAATGAGACTGTGTGTGAGAGCTGTCTCCTCCCATTTTATATTCCTCTCTAGTGCTGGGATTAGAGGTGTTTCTATGGAAAACTCCTGTGGCTACTGGGATTAAAGGTGTGTGTCAGTACTGCCTGGTCTGTAAGGCTGATCAGTGTGACTGTTTTACTCTTTAAACTTTAAGCAATCTTTATTTACTAAAATACAAATGAAATATCACTACAGTACTCAATAGAGAAGGAAAACAAAAATGTTCCTCAGACAACATGGTATCAAGAATAAGAACTCAGGAGTTCTAAAAGAAGTCTTGGTTCAAATTCTGCTCTGGCTGCTTGCCTTTTGGGTAAGTCCCATAGATATTTCGGCTTCTGATTCCACAGCTGGGAAATGGGGATTTGTTTGACCTACAGGGTTGTTACAGAATTTGGAATTTGGAGTTATAGAATTTGGAGGCCAGTGCCTAGGGAATTACCAACCAATCTAATAGTTATTAACTGCCTCTGAGTGCCAAACTCTATTTGAAGCTGGTTTGAGTCTCTGTGTGTTAATGGACAGATAGCCATGCTGGATAGCTGTTTGTGCTTAGCCTCTGGCCATCTTTTCCAAGGGTCTGTGGCTAGTTAGATATTGCCCGTAGCATGGCAGACCTTGGACCACTGTAACAGATGTCTGTGGAGGAAAGAGATCATGGAGGAGTTAGCTGTACTGATGACCCTGTGTTCCTGGTGGTGGTTTTAGATTTATTCTTTCCTGTGGTCAGAGCACTTGCTTCTGCAAAGGGTCTGTGTAGACATTCACACAGTTATACGTGCCGCCCTGACGTGGAGACCGGGATGTATGCAGTAGCACCTTGTCCAGGTGCTCAACAGTCCTTTCTCAGTGTTTCCAGCAGAGGCAGACAGAATGGCGGACTTCGGGATAGACAAGGGGTGAGAAATCTCATGATTTAGAAGCGTGTCGAAGAGAATTGCTGCTACAATGACTTTTCTAGCACAATTCTCTGTTAGTTCCTGGATTTTTTTCGTTTTTTAAAAAAGTTATCACCCAGAGAACTAAGACCAGAACTGGATAGTGTTCTAGAAAAATGCTTGAACTCACCCAGCTAAAATCTACAAGTAATTATCATGCAAATAACTGAGCTATATATTTTGTCACAAAACTCTAGGACATCACTGGTCCTTAAAAAGCTGTAAACTAAAAAAAAAAAAAAAAGACAAGGGGAGGTACTAGGCTCTTAGATTCTTTGTTGGTTGCAGGCAGCTAACTGCACAGGCCAGGACGCACAGTGATAAAGTTACCACTGGGCTACGCCCCAGCCCTGATGAAGATGATTCTTGCATTTACCACAGTATCTATCCATTTACTCACCTGTCAATCCACGACCCATCCATCGATCCACCCACCCACCTGCTTGCTGTCCTTCCAGCCAATAACTGAGAACTTCCCTCACGAACTGGAGACAACTCTGTACCACCTATCTCATAGCTTGTTCTCCAGACGAAAGGAGCTCACACATGTTTTAGTGCTGGTATTAATGCTATCTCTGTCCACCTGCTGTGTGTGTGCTGCCACAAATAGCAAAGTAGGAATTCATGGCGGACAGACACATTCAGCCCTTGGCCCTTGATAGATGGGGAACTTGAGGACCAGAGGGGACACATTTTCCTTACATCCAACTGACAGCGGCTAACAGAGCTGGGATGTGAGCTGCGGCCCGCACGCCTCGCTCTTCTCAACCCCTGGTGCTCATCCTCGGAGGATCAACAACAGAAAGACATGGCACGTGAGGAGAGAGGTGGGCAGAGAGCTAGAGAGAGGGAGGTGAAGGTCAGCAGAGTGGCTGCGGTCCCTGGCCCAGGCTGTGTGGATGATGGAAAGTGACATTCTGCAGTGGCACTCCACACCAGCTGGCATTGTTGCTATCCCCCTGCCTCCACATTCTCACACTCGCTGCTGCTGTGTGAGCCCGGCTAGGAGACAGCTCTGCCCTGCTGGAGGCTAATTCTGAGGTGCCAAGCCCTGGCTGGCATCATCTGCTGTCTCAAATTCCTGCAGTGATCCTATCACATAGGGGTGATGGGGCTATTTCATAAAGATAGAAGCTGAGTTTCCCTCTAACACCCAGGATCCTTCTGGAAATCTCTTTACCTACCCACTGTTGAACCTTTTGGAAAGCCCAAGTCCTACACTTGTTTCATTTTAAAATGTTAATCAGTTTTGTCTTTCCTTTTTCCTCCTGGAGCTGGAAATGGAGCCCAGGGACTCACACCTGTGGAGCTAGCGATGTATTTTAAATCACCAGCCCCTTAACCAGAATTTTACATTCACGTACATGAAAGAGCCTGGATTTTGCCAGACTTGTAAGTGCTGGTGCTAAAGCCTTTGCCCAGTAGTTGAAGACTTAGAGGGGATGGCTTGAACCTTCTCCCCTTTCCTTGGTCCCCCCACTGCTGGCTGGAGCTGGCTGATCAGGCTCAAGGCTGGTTCCCGGCAGAGGGCAGGGTCTCCTGAGAAAACAGACGCTTCCTGACTTCTGTCTGTGCTTTTCATCTACTGATTTCTGGCTTGAGTAAACCTAAGAGGCCTTTAGACCTTCCTGGTATTCTGATGCGAGATGTTTATGGTCCTTGACATTCTTTGGCTGCCGGTCCTGCACGGGGGCCCTGACTGAGATGGCTATCGTGCACTGCTGTGTACCGTACAGCACGTTTCTCTTCAGGGAAAGCTTTCGCTGCGTTTCTGTTCCCTTCCCCTCTCCATTTCTACCGCGCGGTTATTTTGTTTGGCATTTGAAGGTAGACTCCATTGTTTCTGGAAGCCAAGAGAGCCTTCAGAACCCAGAGAAATGAGAGGTGGGCGGCCAGTGCCGACATCGGGGAGGTGTTGCTGGCCTGGAGCCTCGCTCTCTCCGCTCCTTTGGGGAGCTCACTTACAGAGCAGGCTTTGTGTGCAGCAGGGGCCTGGGGCCCAGCTACATGGTGGTTGGCCTTTCTCTCTGCAAAAGCCCTTCCCACAGTGTCCAGAGCTGGGAAGAAATGGCTGTTCTCAGTGATGTGGAGGCAGAGACGGTTGGGGAAGGGGTGATTCCCTGGGGTCAGCTTTAGGATGAGGGCGGAGGCCTCAGTGGTGTCATTGAGAAGGGGAGGAATCCCGCCCCAGGGTCTTTATTACCTGCCCCTCCTTCACTCCCTGCTCTCAGCCTGAAGGTGCCTTTTCCCCTTCTGAGTGGTTTCTCTTCTCTCACTCTCTCTCACAAAGAATCTTCCCCTCAGGTGCCCTTCTCAGAAGGTTCCAGAAGGATTCACAGCACCTCCCTCCTCAGATCTGGAGCTCTCTTCACCCTGAATGAGGAGTGCTAAGAGTCCCTTCCAATTCCCCCCACCCTTAGGCCACAGGCATTCAGTTAGTATTGCCAGATCAACCAACGTTTATGATCTTTACCTTAAGGTAAGGAAACAGGTTCTAGGAGGTTACTGGTTCCCCCTCCAGGGCCACAGTGGCCATTAGTGAGGTAGTTAGGAACCCTGCAGATGTCTTGCCTCATGCCACATTTCCTGGTCCTGAAGGACCAAGTTGGTGCAAACCAAGATTTGGTTAAAGGCAGGCAGATGTACGCATATTCACCACACAATTATGTCAGTAAGTCTCTTTCCCCACCCCCCCTCCCTCTCAAACTTAGGTCTGAAAAATCAGAAAGAAGATGGAGAGGTGATGATACCAGTGTCTCCGGTCCTAGGAAATTACATGAAAAATGAACACAGGGCAGATAAAAGAAGGGGCTGTTTATATAAGAATTATATTATCTTGCTGACTCATATCATCTGGGAAGGTAGAGTGTTCTTAATGTGTCTCTCATTTACCAAACCCACCGAACTTTTTGGAGAAGCTGTGCTAAGAGACCTGTTTGCCTAGGTTCCTAGTTGAAGCTAGCCAGCATTCTGTGCCCAGAAACCTGGATGCAGAAGTCCAGAGGCCACTATTAAGCAGCAGGCTTTGCCACTGCCTTTGAAGTCTGAAGTGGGTCAGGGCACTTGAGGGTCAGTTGCCTTGGGAAGACAAACTGAGAAGCCTAATTCGTCCTTAATTCCTGGGGAGTTCTCTCGAATGAAGAGAACTATTTAGCTTCATTGGGACTTCAGCTTTCGCTGCTGGCTGATGTGCTCTGGGGTCCGCACGATAGGGAGGTGACACTCAGGCCTGAAGTAGCCCCAGGTAGGGATATGGAGATTAGAAAGTTCATGCCATAGAGGACATTAGCTGCCCAGCCGGCCTGTTCATTCTCAGAGCATGGGTAACTAGAAAAAAGGTAACCCAGTACCAGGCGAGGGGGAGACAGACAGTCTACTTTAGAGAAGGCCCGAGTTAGACAACTTGGGACCGTAATTAGCATGATTTATTAGCATGGGGAGTTGGGAGAGTTTTTCACCCAAGGCAACAATGAAGAGAGGTGGTGGGTGAACTGGGTGGTTTAGGGCACCATCAACTGCAGCTTTTGTGACAGAGAGGAAGGGCTAAAAAAGGGAAGTCCTGTGGTGATAAAAGGCGCTTCCAGGTTTCCTCTCAGTGCTGCCCTGGCCCCATCCTATAACCTCTCTTGGCTTTCATTCTCACCTGGAAATAACTTCAGCCACAAGCACTGAAAGAAACTGGGTGACTTAGACCGTGAGCAGTATTAGAAACTGGACGGAGAAGATTGGAGAGCTGGCTGGGTGTCTGCAAAGAACCATGACCTTGAGCGTTAGGGAGCCCTTGAGAGAGCCAGGCCAGGGTAGCCAGGGTGTGGCTTCTCAGAAGGCCTATCCAAACCAGAGGGAGCCAGTAGTGACTTCCCTGAGGTGCAGTTTCTGCTACAGGACTCAGTCTAGACTTCTGAACGATTTTGCATGTGTTCTTTGATTTTGATTTAGAAATTCTTAGGCCTGTGCCCATGGATGTACTCTTGCCTTTCTGTACCCAGCACATGAGTCTTAGAAAAGCCCAGGTGTGATTTAAATGCTTTCCCCTTGAATATATACTTAAGATTTTTTTTGTACTGTTCTTTTACAAAGCTTTCCTTGAAACTGGATAATCAGAGCTGTTATATTTCTTTTCTTTCTTAGAGACAGGGTCTCACTATGTAGCTCTGGGTGTCCTGGAACTCACTATGCAGACCAGGCTGGTTTTGAACTCTCAGAGAGCAACCTGTCTCTCCTCCCCAGCCCTGGGGTTAAAGGCATGTGCGCCACACACCTGGCCAGCACATCTGGCCAGCACACCTGGCCCAAAGCTCCTTCACTCCTTGAGGGCTCTGATGTACTTACTAGTCAACACTGTGACTTTCAAGCTGTCTGCAATACTTTCTATGAGGTCTTATATCACAGCACCCATTTTACAAACAGGGAAAGGAAGGCCCCAGGAGCCAGCCCTTTTGAAAGTCACACGATGGGTAAGGGACGGAGCTAGAGTTGGGTGATACAGGTCTCGTTTCTCGTCCTGCAGCTGAACTGTGATAACAGCTATGCTGAAGGAAAGGGGAGGAATCTGCCCGAGGGTGTGCAGGCAGAGGGGGGCCAGCACCTAGTCCTCTCCACTGCCACCCGGACTCTGTACTATGGTAGACTTGAGGCACTTCTTGGAATTTATTCCCTAGAACTTTCCCGGGCTGGAAAGCTCTGCTCTGGAGAGAGTATAAACAAAATTCCAAAATGAAGAAGGTGCCACGTGTTGGCATGGCCACTTTGAAGGCCAGGGAAGGTGGGTGTGGGGAGAAGGCTATCGAGGGTACAGCTCCAGGAAGCAGGGGTGAGGCAAGGACTTTTCAGAAGGTAAACTATTGGAACTTATTTGGATATGCAACCTTTTAAAAATGGATGCATCTGAAACCTGTCATGGTGGCCTGTGCTTTTAATGCCACTACTGAGGCAGGCAGTTGGAGTTGACCTGTCCTGTTCCAAGACATCTTATACTACATACTGTGACCCTGTCTCCAAAAACCATATGGCCCAGCCAGCCATTGGTGGTGCACTCCTTTAAACCCAGCACTCAGGAGGCAGAGGCAGGCTGATCTCTGAGAGTGGGAGCCCAGGCTGGTCTACAGAGTGAGTTCAGGACAGCCAGGACTGTTACACATTCTGAGTGGTTTCTGTTCTCGAAAGACCAAAAACAAAAATGAAAATAAACCCAATCAAACAATAACAACAATCAAACCCACATGTATGCGTATGTATATGAAATACGGAGTACAGAGTTTCTACCCGAATAAACTGTCTAATATTGACAGTTCTCTATTTTGAAAAAGCCGAAGCCAAGGATGAATTAATGAAGCTCAAGAGTGTTTTGCAATCTGTGACTGAGCCCTTTCGAGCCTTTAGTGCGGTCGACCGAAAGTTCTGCTTCAAAGAGCAGGGCACAAACCCTTTGTAGTAAGCACACTGAGGACACAGGCTCAGCAGCTCTCGGCTGAAGTCATTGTCAGCGTTTGAAAAGAGCTGACTTTCCTCATTAGGCCGAACAGGACACCCCGCCCTCCTCTGGACATGGTTTGTCCACAGGGCGCATCACTTCCTTCTCACTTCCTTTGCTGTTGGTCTTAATCACTGACTGGGAACCTTAACACTGAGATCTGGGCTGGAGAAAGGAGAGAGGCAGTCGGGGGCCGTTTGCCATCTGTCTTGGAATTGCAAGGTGGTCCTGGATGAGATTACCACCCGACAAGTTTCAGGCACTTGTCTCAACACCTGACAATAGGATTAATTCTCATTTTACACTCCTAGCTTTAGGGAGTGGGTGTATTTTGGTGAAGGAAAATGTGTCAAGAAGCTTGATGTCACATGGCCAGCAAGTGGCAATGTCTAGATTCAAGATGGAGATCTGTGGGCAGCCAGGAGACATGCTTTAGGAGGCAGTGGTCAGGGCATCCTGACTGCCCCCGATCTATTCCTGGTAGAGAAGGTTTTTATAGAAATTCAGAGCCGCATGTCACTTCTCTGATGATGTTCTTGTTGGGAGGAGAAAAGAAGATACTTTATTTTCACTGGTCTCATATCTGGATGGAGATTTCAAGTTTTTAAAATGGTGGTGAGAGAAGTTTGTGTTTCTGATTGTGTCCTGACGTGGGATTCAGAGACACTTCTGGAAGAGTGTTAGCAATTACATTGTCTCACTGTTCCTCACACTAATGGAACCGCCAAGCCTCAGACTGTGGAGGGCTGCCCCCAAGAATCCAAGAGTGTACAGAATTAAGTTACATGCTCAATTCCATTGGTGATACCTTCTGTGAATGGATTATATTGTTTTGTTGTGGCAAATATACCAAACATAAAACTATTTCAGATTTTTTGGTTTGTTTTTCAAGACAGGATTTCTCTGTGTAGCTCTGACTGTCCTGGAACTCACTCTGTAGACCAGGCTGGTCTCGAACTCAGAGATCCGCCAGCCTCTGCCTCCTGAGTGCTGGGATTAAAAGTGTGCACCACCACCGTTTGGGTATTTTAACCTTTTTGAAATATACAGTTAGGAGAGAAGAAGTATGTGCACACTGATGCAAGCATTAGCACAACCATGATCTTTAGAACTTTCTCTTTACCCCAGGTTAAAGAGCCCGAGCTTTGTTAGTGCTATCCTATGCCATGGCCATCACCCATTATAGAGGGAATTGGAGCAGATAGGGTCAAAGCCAGTCTTCACTCTAAGGTCACATGGAACCTGGCCTAGACTCTGGTCAACTACAGAAGTTCCTGCTCCTGTTATCAGGGCATCATGTGGACAAGATGTTGAAGCCATCTTCCTTAAGGACAGGCACCAACAACATGAAAGAACAAATACCCTAAAGCCTTCACTTTCTTCTGTTCAAGTTAACCTCTTGTCAAAACCTATGAGGGAAGGTGAACTGCATTTTTCACCCTTTCCAGGGAATCGGGATACTTCTCGGGACCAAAGGAGAGCTGCACTCTGTGTGCAAATGAGTCAAGTCCAAATGCAGCCGTCTTTCGCCATGGTGACGTGGAATTGTCATTCACAAGGGTCACCTTGAGAACTGCTCTACCGACTTGCAAAAAAATATTGCAAAAGAAACACCCCATAATGTTTTAGGAAAGTGTGATTTTTTTTTTTTGTTGGGCCCCGTTCACAGCTATCGCTCAGTGCATGTGGACTACAGACCATGGGTTGGGTAGACCTGATAGGGTCTTCCAGCTGAGAATGGGAGGTTTCATGTGTGCAAGCATGCAGGGGAGGGAGTGGGGGCAAGGGTGTGCATATTACTGTGATTTAGGGATCGCTTCTATTCTGGGAGTGCAGCAGGGGCTTCTTTGTGGTTAGGTGACAGTGTGGACACTTCCTGATGACTCCCTACCTCTGGATTCTAGGCTCAGCCCTGTTCAGGCTGGTGCGCTCAGGGTTAAGTCTCTAGGAGGACTGATGGCTTCACGGGTGCTTGTGTCACCTGTGGGGTGTGTACCTGCTATGCTGGCAGCCGGCTGGGTTTGCTAGGATGTGCAGTCACCCAAGCACTTACTCAGGCGTGGAGGCCTCAGAGGCTTTCTGGGGCAAAGCTCAGCTGGCCTCCCTCTACAGTAAGATTTACATAAGGTCTCAAGCTTCCTACTTAGGTACAGAAAAATGAGCTGGGGGTTGGGCTGGAGAAGGAGAGTGAGAGAAAGCTTTAGGACTGGCAGGGGACTCATGTTTACTGAGCATTGCTCTGAGGCAAGCTACACAGTTTACACAGAAATAGGAAGAAGCAGGAGTGAGGATTCTAGTCTTTTCTTCCCCCACAAGGCAGAACCCCCTTCCCTGCCCCTCTCCACCAGCCTCTGTCCTGAGCACTGGCATTTCTAGACTCCCCAGTACATCCTGCCTGAACCCAGTCCCACTGCCCTTGGGTGGAGACCCCCAGATGGCCATACCTGTCTGATGTTCAAAGGCAGGGTAATATTCTTCATTGCTGAACAAATCAGTCCAAGACATCAGGGGGTCGCAGAAGGATGTGTTGGGTAGAAAGGTGCTATGGGTTACGGAGTCCAACATCACCCTGGAATATCAGAGAGGCTGTGAGGATGTGTGGAACACGGGCTTCCACAAGCCACATGGCGTAGAAGCTCCCAGTAGAATGGCCCTTAATTTTTAACAAGAACAGCAGCCAGGGACTCCCATTAAGTATTTCCCACAGATAGTGTTCTTTGGTACTCACCAGATCCTGCCCATCCCCATTGCACCTATGAGAAAACTGATCCAGAGGAGTTGAGACAGTTGCCCAAGTAACATCACAAGAAAGTTGCAGAACTGGGATTTGCAGATGGAGGTTCACATTGTGCAATACTGCCTCTTTATTGACCTTTTCTCTTTGCTCATGCCCAACCCCTCTCTCACTATATATATTATATGGTATATATAATATATATCATTTATGATATATAAAAGTGCACTTTGGAAGATAGTCAAGCCTTGTCCTGTGTGATTCTATCCAGAATACTGAACCAGACAGCTCTGAAAGCTTCTATGTGTTATCATGTGCGAGTGTTAGTCACAATCTTACTTCCCAGCAAAAAGAGGCCTAACTGGTGTTGTGACTTTTTATGCATTAGACATGTGCATATGAACACATGTCACACTATGTTATTTCAGTTAGTGAACATTTACACGATACCCTGCAGCAATATTAATGTGCCGGCGCAATCCTTGACCTTCCCAGGAGTTCTGTTTCTACAGATGAATACCACATGGCGTTCCTGACACCAGAGTCCTCTGCTTCAGGTGTGGAGAGTGCTGTGCTCTAGTACTTCCCTGCAACCGCTGTGATGGGTGCTGGGAAAGGCTCTCTTTCACTGATGAAGGATGGGGGCTCTGGGGTTCCGGGTAGCAAGTACAGCTGGCAGGAGATGGAATCTGAGTGGCAACTCAGGTGGGCCTGCTTAGAAAGTCCCTGCTTTTATCTGTTACTCTGTGCTCCCTGAGCGCCTCTTTATGGTGGTTGGAGGGGATCTCATGCAAAGGTGTCTGGCCAAGACCGGACAGACGACAGGTGTTCTTGCCCAGTCAACCTCACCTTTGTTTCTTCCCATAGGCTCAAATGCTGCGTTCTGTATTTCCACAATCGTGTGTGTGTGTGTGTGTGTGTGTGTGTGTGTATGTGTGTGTGTGTGTTGGGAGATTTCATGTTTGGAAGATTTTTTTTCTAAAAAATTGTTCACTTAACTTCATTTTCTTTAAGTCTTGAAATAAAATTGATGACATAAACTGGCTCAAACTCTATTCACAGGAAGGACGCACCAGCTCAAAATCACAGCACTGGCAAAGGCCAGGGCAAGAGCGAGAGTCCACACCCAGGGACAACATAAGACAGAGCCAGAACGTGTGAATGCTTCTCCAGTATTCATCCAGGTCCCTCAAACTGCATCCTTTTACCTGTCACCATGGTAATTCTACTGAATCCACCTGCTTCTCTGAACACAATAAATTAAAAATTCTGAACAACCATCTTTTTCTTTTTCTTTTTAAGGTGAAAGTACCTTGGAAGGGAAACTTTATGTCAACATCACAAACAGGAAAGCTAGTATTCTTTAATGCGCATAAAAATGAGTGTCCAGACGCAAATCAAAATGGCTCGTTCAGATACCACTAAACCACGAGTTAGTTATCTACAACCTGAAGCTAGTCCAGCCCACGCCTCCTTTCTTTATTTATCCTGAAGCCAGAAATCCTTTTAGATTTTGAAATGCTTGTTTACTTAGCATTCTTGATTTTTGTCTTTTGGCCAGCAAATCATAAAATATTTACTACCCGGCCCTTTGAGGGATTTGCCAACCTCTGGGCAGAATTACCTTCTGCTTCCCCTGTGCTGTAGAACCAGGGCTGGAAAATACACTCTGCCTTTTGCTAGGAAAGGAAGTGGAGATCCAGGGAATCTGTGTCACTTGCTCAGGGTCACACAGTCAATGGCCAGCAGAGTTAAGTCTGAGGGAGGCCCTAACTTTCCCACGTGGTCTGTTAGTTTCCCCATCTAAAGACATGGTTTCTTCCAGGTACATTTATATAGTCATTACTAAGAGCCACAGTGGTCCTTTGAGATGCTCACAAATCTACCATCGTGATCAGCATCCAGTGAGCAGAGGAATTGTAGGCTGGTAAGTAAAAACAAGAGTTCTTCATCTTGGCTAGCATCTCTGGGCCAGCACCTGTATAGTAGTCCCTAAGAAAGGTCCCAAACTTTCTTGATACCTGGACAGGGAGTGTGGACTCAGCAGTTATTATAGCCACGGATATCACGTGGGAGCCGACAATCTGAAGCCAAGACTTCCTAGCTTCGGGCTCTGATTTTCTCATGGATCGGCCAGTTTTCTGTCTTGAGTCTTTTCAGGGTGGGGGTGGGGGTGCCAGGAAGCAGGATTAAGGCTGAACACCGCACTTAGTCTGAACTCAACTTCTAAAAAATCCAGAGCAAAGGATAGAAACAGCCTCACCCTTTCTAGGCAGGACTCTCAGGATACCTCTGACATGACCTTCACTGAATTTCGAGAAACGAGAGGTGGACCCCACAACCCAGTCTCCAGGTCTTCAAAGTCAATGGGGGCATCCTCCAAAGATTAAACTGGACTGGCTTTGCCCTTCTTCACCTACATCTGACATATAGAAGACATTTAATATTTAACAAGAAGGCTATTTGGTAAATTGAACTGGATCTTATAAAGCTCAGGACTGTTTTTGATTAGTAGAGTGTTTACCCCTTTGGAGGGTTTCTCCGCCCCCTGCATACTAGCCCACCCCCTTGATCTGTAATCTCTTCAGCCCTGCACACAATGACGGATTTGGTTCCCTTTGATAATTCCTTTTATGGCAAATTATACCCATTAGATTTGCTTAGAAGGCTTAGCTGGTATATACCATGCTGTTTTCCTTCCACAATTAGTTCTTGCTTCTTTGGGGGGGGGTCTTTTATAAAAGCAGTGAACAGTTCTTTCCTTCTTTCCTTTTTGTTTTGCTGTTGTCGTAAGAAGAGGCATTATTAAGTCTAAGCTCACCACAAAAGGCCATGGCTACTTAGCCAGCATGCCCTAGGTGTGCGAGCTCAGGAAGAAAGGCTGCTTTGTGTTCAGCTGAATCTTTTCTTTAGGCCTTGGAAGGTACTTGCAGGAATTGGGCATTTTGACTGTTTCTTTAATGTAAGTGGATCACAGGTGTGGTACCCTCTTCTCGGTGAGGATTCTGGACCAGGAATATGTAAGACCAGGTCTGGTTTTGCTCAGCCATTCTCAGCATGGTATGGGGGTGACAAAAAGCTCCGAGGGGAGGGTGATAAGGAAAATAAGGCAGAAAAGACCCGGGTTAGATAGACTTCACACTGCCCGAGATGGAAAGAGGACACTAGCAGGTTCCTGGGCCCGCTGGTCAACCCACACTCTGACTTGCCAATTAGGAAAGATTCCCAGACTTGAGTCATGATCCTGCCTTTTGCTCCTCTGTAGACCTTAGTTCTTCACCTACGATAGGATACTAAGAGACGGACTCAAGCTCAGCCCCGGCTCTGTGATTTTCTTCAGGTTCCCACCTGATCAGCCGGACACTTCCAAACCTGCCCACGCGTCCACATGTACAGCCACATTGATAACATTTGCACTTCAGTCAGGTGAAGTCACCAAATAAGCAAAACACAACTGGTACGACACAGATTAACCCGTAGCCCCAGAAAGTCGTCTGGTCCCTTCTTCCTCCTTCCCTCTTATGCCCGGCTAGACAACGCAACCAGATACCTTAGATGTCCTGGACCCCCACGCCCTGACTTTCCAACAGCAGACGCAAGCAGTTTCTCCTACATTAGTTACCGCTCTGGCTGCCTCATAAGTAGAAAAGGATTGGTATGATCAACCCCAGGGTGGTGGAGTCAGGCGCGCTCTCTCTCACTGTCGAGAAGACTGATCGTAGGTACCTTTGGAGTGAGTCAGGGCTGGCCTGGAGCTGAGAGCTTCCAGAGACTTCCTGTCCCCTTTTGGAGCAAGCTCATACACCATGCACACACACAGGGTCCACCCAACCAAAGGCCCAGGCTCATGGGCTTCCGTCCTACTTACAAACCAATGGCAGCAAGAACAGGCACATTGCCCATGGCCTGAACCACCAGAGAGAGGTGAAGGCGCAAACCACCCAACCTTGGCCAGTTTGCCAGAAGAGGAAAATTCCTCCTTGACCCTGACCAGAATCATCAAGTTCATTTTGGGCATGTGACCAAAAATCTACCCAATTAAGCATGTACGCTTTGGCTATTTCTCTCCCTCCCATTCCCTTCCTTTTCTCCCCTCCCCATCTCCGCTGTGTGGACTTGCCATGCAGATCAGGCTAGCCTCACGCTTGAGTCAGTCCTCTTGCTCTTACCTCCTGAATGCCCGTGTATAGGCATTGGCTATTTTCTTGTCAAAACATCTCTGAACAAAGCCACACCAGTGCAAAATAAGGAAAAAGACTGAGAAGGGCTTCCAATATTCCAGTATCTGGACAGTGCCGTGGAGTAGAGAAATGCTTTTTTTTCCTCTAAAGCTCCATGACTCCTGAGTGTCCACAGGGTCCAGAGCCCCACAGGCAAGGAATGTCAGTTTCCCATCCACTGGGGCTCTTTAAGAAGGGCAGGATGCGGAGCACCCAATGAGGGTATTTCAACACTTGCAATAAAGGAAGGCTTGTGGGTTGGGTACTTGAGTATTTGCTCTGGAAGCTACCTCAGCATTGTGGGAACCAACTTGTTGGTGGCTTATCGAGTAACTCTTCATTTTTTTCTTTAGCTTACTTAGGACTGCATTTGTTTGTTTTTAGCTGTTTTTCTGGAGGCTCATGGAGGGAAGCTGTGGGTTTTGATGCAAGAATCACAAGTCTTAGGTTAAAAACCTAAGGAATGAATATTGCTTGTGGTACACACCAAGCAAGCGATGTGGGGCACAATTCCTAACTACTTGTCTGCTGTAATTTCTGACTTTCTTACATGCATACTAAAAGTTTAGATTTTCTTTCTTTCTGGCCTACCGTCTCCGATAACCCCCTTCCTCATCCTTAAAATGAACATTTTCCTACACAATCCTCCTAATGTCCCGAGGATTTAATAAACCAGTTAACATAGATAGAGTAGCGAAAAACTAGCACTCTGGAGAGGTAGAGAAGGCAAAATGCTGCTGTCCCAAATATGTTGAATCATAGAAAAGAAACCTTGTAGAGAACAAAAAAGCAGAAGAATTAAATTTTCATGTGGATGGGCAGAGGCTTGGGTCTGGGACTTTGGACTAAACACAAAGCTGTCTCCATAAGTTATCGGGCCTTCTCGTGCCTCAGTTGTCCCTTCTGTAAAATGGAGACGAAGTTCTTAATGTTCTAGGATACCATTTCTGTCTTAGGAAATTCTCAGCACCTTAACGCAGATGCAGGAGAGCATGCGTTTCCAGCTTCTGCCAGTAGGGGGAGAATACACATGAACCCAGCACGCACGCAGAGACTGATAAGGTTTGAGAATACAGTGGGAAAAAAACCCTAGCCACTGTTTTTCTGGAGTCATTCTGTTCTAAGGGGCTATGGAAGAGTCAAGTGGGATTCTTTTAAACTATTTTGTACAGACTCCTGAAAAGTGGCCCAAACTGTAATAATACCATTCTCTCCTTCCAGAGGGACAGCACGGTGAGCAGGCCCCCTCCCCGGTGGGGGAGGGGGTCTGGGAGTGAGGTCAGGGTTGGGAAAGGTGATGGATTTTCCTTGAGCTGGCTATCTGTGCAGAATCCGGCTTCCCTCCTAAAGGCAGCTGAAGGAGGGGCAGAGATTTGAGTTGCCTGTACACATTCTCCTCAGCTGCTCAGCTTTAGTGGATCCAGGGGAAGTGGGAGCCGGTGGAGAGGGTGGGTGGCCACTTTGCCCGAGGAGACAAAAATCTCTCCGGCAGGCAGTCAAGGCTGAGTCAAACACCCCCGGAGTTGGCACTCTGACTGCCTCATGGAGGGGCGGGTGAGGGAGCTAGATATAGAGAGAGACTCAGTCCCAGGCCCCAGCTGTGTCTCTGAGCCCGGACACCCCTTTTAATTCATTCAAAAGAGCAAAAGAAAAGCTGCTTACGTGAAGACAAGTGGCGGCTTGGTCCAGACAGAAGGCTTTCAAGGCAAGAGAAGGCAGGCGTGCTCCCGGCACCAGCAGACGGTAGAAATAAAGGCACCTGTAGCCTTGTGATATAAGTGACACCTACAGACAGGTCCGTTTGGTTTTTCAGGTTTATGCACAGCCCCTTTGATGACGGTGACATACAGTGTGTGACAAGGCTTCTTGGTGGTGGCGGTGTGGGGGGTGGTTCTCACATGCAGAAAGCTTCCCTTTCTCCTGCTTTTGTGCCTCACTCCCACCGCCCACCACCCGGTGAGGGGACCCCGGAAACAAGCAAAGAATTCCTGCCCCTGGGAGATATACGTGGAGTGCTTACAGGTGCATTCTCCGTTGAGCTAGCTGGAGGGGAATTCAAGCCTGCTGTCTGTCCATTGCACCCTTCTCCTGGCTAGCCAAGTCTCGAACCTTTGTGTGTGGTGTTGGCCCCTTTCTGGGTGCGCGAGGAAAGAAGAGCAGAGTCGGGTCGTGGTAAAGAAGAAAGGTGCTGCAGGGATCCAGTTCTGCACCCATCATTTTCCGGCTGTGTTACTGTGAATAAGCTAATGAGCGTATCTGGGATTCATCAGATTAACGCAATAATGGAAGCCCGTTCCTTGGGGCTGCTGGGAAGACGGTACTTGGGAATGTCAGCTAATCACCTGTCCTTAGGTGCTACAAGTTTCCTTTATAAGGCGTGTTAGTCAGAATTTCCCTTCCTTCCACTGATCCTGGTGGTAACCTTCCAACCAGGGGCAGGGGGAGAGCCCGTGGGCAGCTGCCTTTGCTAGCTCTTTCACTCTAAACACCCGGAGGGCATCGCGTTTGAAATGGGAGCCAGGAGACAACTTTCTCCTTTTCCCAGTCTCCTCTGCCTTACAGACCATCTACGAAGGGACCTTGTGCCCAGAACCACACACCAGGGGCCCTGACTTGGTTCGCAAGCTCTCAGTTGTCTCACTGAGAACTTCCCACTGTTTAGGACCTTTCTCTAATCTCACTGGTGACATATGCGGTTCTCTGGGAGGAGAGTTTGTAGCCCTCCATCTTGTGTGCCATGCTTCCTCTATCTTAGGGAGCTGAGACACCAACATGCCCAAACTGCAGACTCGGAGCTTGAAGGAGAAAGCAGGGACTGGTTGGTTAGGTTTTCTTGGGAGCACTGGGCATGAGCACAAGCACTCAAACCCAAACACATGAATGGTGCAAAGAAACAAAAGGCGTTTCATCGAGAAGTCATGTGTCATCATGGAAAAATAGCCGGAGAAAGATAAATGGACTGTTGAGGACACCGGCTTAGCTGTGTGACCTTAGAGAAGACAGCCAGATTTTCGGAGTTCCAATTGTCCCAACAGTAATAGGAGAAAAGAGGATTAAGAAAGTTATTTATAAAATCATTTTGCTGGGTGTGGCAGGGCTTTTAATCCCAGCACTCAGGAGGCAGAAGCTGGCGGATATCTATGAGTTTTAGGTCAGCCAGGACTATACAAGCAGTGAAACCCTGTCTCAAAAAGTGTTTTAATTTCTTTGTGTTTGTGTGTATATGTGCGTTTGTGTGTCTCTGTGTCTGCGTGCTTGTGTAAGCCAGAGGTCAGCACTGGGGGTATCTTTCTCAATCACCCTCAATTTTATTTTGTTTTATTATTTTTAAATTTATTTTTATTTTATGTGTATGAGCATTTTGCCTGCCTACATGTATGTATGTGTGTCTGGTATTTGTGGAAGTCAGAAGAAGGTGTCAGATCTTTTGGAACAGAACTGGAGTTACAGATATCGTGAGCTGCCTCGTGGGTGCTGGGGATCTAATCCAGGTCTCTGTGGGAGCAGCAGATCCTCCTGACTTTGAGACATCTCTCCAGCCCCTTGGTTATTTTTGAGATGGTCTATCACTGAACCTGGGCTTCACAGACTCAGCCACACTAGCTGGTCCGAAGCTCCTAGGATCTACCTGCCTCGACTTTCCCAGTGCTGGGATTGCAGGCACGTACTGTTGCACCTGGCTTTTTTTAAAGTATGGGATTTGGGATCTCTCTAACTCAAGTTCTCCAGCACAGTAGGCAAGTACTTTATCCATAGAGCTATCTCCATAGCCCCCAGGGCAGTCGTTTAGAAACTGTCCTGTTTGAACAGGGTGGGAGCAGGAAGAGAAAGTGAGTCTCATACTTCCTCTTGGATTCAAGAATAGTCTCAAAGATTTTCTTTAAATTTGGGTAAGACGACATCTGAACAAAAGAATCTGAACATGAACAAAATTCGCAGTAACCGAGTTCAGATGCTCTCTGGGACGCTTTGAGTGTTAATATCTATGAACTGTTCTGGAGAAGCCTGGTTTCTGGGGGCTCCTATAGTCCTATATGCTATTTTCTCTCCTGCTGAGTTCTGTCCCATTTTGCTATTGGTTTCTGAGCCACACACATACAGTCTTCCCGAGGAAAAATTTCCAAGCAATATATGCTGTTCTGTTATTGTTTTTAGAAAAGAACCCTTTGGAGAAATTTGCATTTTTTTCTATGCCCTCCGTTGTTTAAGAGTGGAAAGCAATTTAGCAGCCGATGTCTGTGACATCAACCTGGTTTGTCCCATGGTCCTGGGTGAACAATGCAGCATCTCTAGGTGACAGTGTGGGAAATTACAGGTTTCTGAACCAGTAGATAAACGGGGAGATTAATACAAACAAAAACAGAGGAACTGCACTCCAATTAAGTATCAGCATCAAGTTTTGTCTAAACTTGAATAGAATGGATATTTGGGACCTCAAACACTAAGCTTCTAAAAGCTGCATCATAAATGTCGATGGAGATGGGATGTGGAAGTGGGAAGGGCAAAGAGCCAGGGGGGGCAGGTGGTAGAGCAAGGGCTGAAGTTATTTAGAATTCTCGCTATCTTCCTTTCAGGTCCTCAAAGTGACATTCACAGTGGCTAAGAAGGGTGACTCTGGAGAGAGACCTCTTGGGCTGCAATCCCTGCTCCGCCACCTTCTGACTGGATGAGCCTGAGAAGCCCCCCTCCTCTGGCCCCCAAACAACTGCATTACAGCGAATGTCATCTGCTGTATTTTTTTTAATTAAATTTTCTGCAGATCTTCAACCAGGGAGCTACTTAGCGACTCCTTTTTTCAGCTGATGAATGTGAAGCCTATGGGCACAAATTTCTCAGTAGCAGTAGCAGAGCAAGCACCGTGCAGCCCCAGCTGTTTGCCCCAGGAGTCCAGCCTCTTAGGATCTGACAGTTCTGGGTACTCCTGGGGTCGATTTTTGGGTAGGGGAGGAGCGAATCACATTCATACACAGCATCTTTTGTAACCAAGTATTGTACTGGGGTGCCTCACCTATCTTACGTTGATTATTGTTTACAGTAACCCTAGGAGATGGTTACCATTATATTATTTTTAAGATAAGGAAACAGAGGTGCTGGCACTTGTTGGGGGGTCACCCAGCTGGGCTGGAGCCAGCTCTGGTTGACTTGCAGCCTACCCAATAGGAAAACCGCTGTAGAGAAACACGACCTCATTGTGGCCTCCCTCTCTTGCTCTGGCCTCAGCACTGACCTCTTTGGAGGTCTCCTTCTCTATGGCCCAGGGTCTTCATATCTCCTGATCATTACCAGTGCAGCCTCTCTCTAAGTGAGTAGAAACCCTCTGGTGCACTTCCCTGGATGTGGAACCCTGGGGGTAGGGGTGGGGGTAAAGAAGACAGCTAGCGTGTTTAACACACACACACACACACACACACACACACACACACACACACACCACAAAATTAGGTGAGTTAAAGGACATGCCATCTGACATGGGGTGGGAAGGTCCCATGCAAGCCTTTGCCGGACTCCTCCAAGCAGGCACTGACTTGTGTCTGCTGCTTACCCTGGAGCTGTTATCCAGGTCATATCCCCATCCTTTCTCCCCACAGACTGCCCCCTTCACTGCCCCCCCCAACCCCAGCCAGGCAGCACAGACTAAAAACAAAAGTGAACTGAAGAGAAAACATTGGGGCAGATCATAGACTCAGGAGAGACCTTCACTAGTGAAAGTTCGGGCTGTGGAGTCAGTCTCCATTGTTCCGGCTTTGTTTACTTCTCTGTACTCTGTGGTTTCAACTAGTTAATATCAGAAAGTGTTTTGGTGGATGGGGAGGATGTCAGTGGATGTATCTGATAACAAATTCCTGGCACCTGGCGCCCGGCACCTGGCACCTGGGAGCCATTTGATGAGGTATGGACTTCATGGGTACATTTCTTCATCCGTGAGGCATTTACTGTGATTGCTGATACATGGTAGGTTTCATTAGGATGGAGAGAAATACAGTTGTTGATGGAGACCCCTGACCTTTGAGTCTGCGTGCCAAGGTGGATGGCGCTAACAGCGCTAACAGCGGCCCGTCACTGGGTGCACTTCCTGGGTGCTAGGAACAGACTAAGCATGCTGCGCGTATTAAGTCATTTGATTGTTGCGCCATTCCTACGACGGGTGTGTCATTATCATCACCTAAAATTTAGTGATGAGGAAAGAGGTATAGAGAGTTCAAACAACTTGCCTAATACCGCACAGCTGGTAGAACCCTTCTCGGGGTTTGGGTGCAGAAAAGCATGCGGCCAGAGTTCCCTGACTTATGTCAGGGTAGTCCTGGGAATTGAGATGTACCAGCTTTCTGATTTGATGTTTGAATGCATAAAGGCTGGAAATGCTCTGGTCTCTAAAATTCACAGCATGAACTTAAGTACATAGGCGTTAAAACACTCTGCCTATTGATTGTGTAGTCTGAGGTTTCCTTTTCCCTTTAATTCCTCTTTGGGCATCTTCTCCCATCTTTAGCCACTCATGTGTCCTTCTTGCTGATTAGAGATCTCAGTTCAGTTGAGAGCATCAGGAGGTGGCTCTCTCTGTCTCCTACATACTCCTTCTGGGCTGTGCTTTGGAAGTGATCGGTCTTTGTATATTTCCAGCACTGAACCATTATGGAACTTAAACACTGGCAAATTAGTCACAGTGTTATAAAGATGAATAATGCTGTATGTAATAAATATTACAGAATTTGAGTTTTGTTTTGAGACAGAGTTTTGCTATATAGCCCTGACTG